TTGTCTTCCCAGTCAATTCCCCTGAGAATTTTGTATGTGGTGATCATGTCTCCCCGAGCTCTTCTGTCTTCCAGCAACGTGAGTATAGTTCACTCGGCCTTTCCTCATAACTCATGCCTATTAGTTCTAGGACTAGCCTAGTAGCATACCTCTGAACTTTTTCCAGCTCGTCTTGGGCCAGCTTCCATGCTGGGGCAGCATACTCCAAGATTGGCCTTACATTCGTGGTGTGCAAGGTTCTGAAGGATTCCTTACACAAGTTTCTGAAGACAGTTCTGATGTTAGCCAGCCTCGCATACGCCGCCGATGTTATTATTTTGATGTGGGCTTCAGGAGACAAGTTTGCCGTGATAACGACTCCTAGATCTTTCTCTCTGTCCGCTTCATGAAGGACTTCATCTCCCATTCAGTATCTTGTGTCTGGCCTCCTGTGTCCACCGCCTAGTTTCTTTTACCTTACATTTACTCGGGTTGATTGTTAGTAGCCATTTGTTGGACCATTCATTCAGTCTGTCTAGGTCATCTTGTAGCCTCATACTATCTTCCTCTGTCTTAATCCTCCTCATAATCTTTGCATCATCAGTAAACATTGAGAGAAACACGTCTGTTCCCTCTGGGAGATCATTTACATATATCAGAAACAGTATAGGTCCAAGGACTGATCCCTGAGGAACTCCACTGGTGACGCCTCGCTGTCCCTATGCGACGCCACTGGTGTGTGTGTGTGTGTGTGTGTGTGTGTGTGTGTGTGTGTGTGTGTGTGTGTGTGTGTGTGTGTGTGTGTGTGTGTGTGTGTGTGTGTGTGTGTGTGTGTGTGTGTGTACTCACCTAGATGTGCTTGCTGAAAAAAGTACATGTGTACCCGGGTCACTGGATGACAGGAGAATGACAATCAACTGCTCAACATAATCACCTCGTCCCTTTCCCTGTCTGTCTGTCAACTCTCTCACCTGACTGTGACTTCCGCTTGGCTCACCAACCTCACCACCACCGCAGCCTAACCAAAAATCTTGCTATATTGATCAGGTTGATCATACATCGGAACACACAAGATCACTATAGTCAACCCTCAAGATGTTAGTGACAGAGGTGGCGCAGGTGTGTGGACAGTGACGGGGGTCCAGGTGTGTGGACAGTGGTGGGGGGTCCAGGTGTGTGGACAGTGGTGGGGGGACAGAAGAGCTTCACCTTCTCCTGGTCTATATAATAACGTGATGGACGGGGTATAACGCTAATCCATCATCATCCTTCGTCAGGTGTGGGTCTCTCCTGTCCCGCCAGGTGTGTTTGTGCTGCCTCAGCAGGTGTGGGTCTCTCCTGTCCCGCCAGGTGTGTTTGTGCTGCCTCAGCAGGTGTGGGTCTCTCCTGTCTCGCCAGATTCTCTACCTGTCTCTCCAAGTGAGAGAGGGAGGTAGGACCAATATAGCGCAGGATATTTTCCTTGAAGCCAAGCAAGGTTTTTTAAGACAAAGATTGTGGTAGTCCTCCTCTGAACATCCCTCGGCACACAGCCTCATGACTTTGCACTTTCTTGAGTTTAACTCTAGTGACCGCTTGTTGTCATTTATTTTTCAAGTTGCTCAGATCGTCCTATAGTTTTTTTTTCAGTCTTGCACTTTGTTTATCCCTCCATAATTATTGCGTTATCAGCAAATATATTAAATATAAAAAATTCCCTCTTATGAAAGATAATTGTCCTATAATATAGGAGGATAATATAGATCTTAATATTGACCAGTTTGGGATTTCCCTGGTATAATCTCCCCATTTTGAAATCTCTCCCCTTATTGTGGCTGTTGTTGTTGTTGTTTGAGATTCGCTACTTGGAACAAAACGTTCCAAGTAGCACGGGCTATGGTGAGCCCGTAGTGGACTTTGCATCTTTATTATTGTGACTGTATTCTGTCGCTTAGGTACTCCCTCGTACACTAAAGCATCTTCCCTGTGATCCGTGTTTACCCATGTGACATTAGTCTCGTGTGGGGCTCCGTATCGAAGGCTCTCTGCCAGTCCTTAAAATTTGACATCTGCCCATCCTTCTCTCTTGTCTGATCTTGTCTCTCAGTCATAAGTATCCGTCATGTATGAGACATGGTTTGCGGTCTCGGAACTTATGGCTGGGTTGGCTTCTAAAAGCCATTCCCTCCAGGTGGTCCACGAATCCCTTTATAAAGTTATTGAGCATTACCTTGCGTAAGGAACACTGGCTTGGGCCTCCTGTTGTTCACTTTCTCGTAGACAGGCACATTATTTCCTGTCTTCCAACTTTCACGTAGTTCTCCTGCTTCCACGGAGGTTTCTATATATCATAGTAAAGGGTAATAGAAAGTGGGCACATGTTGGCTTAGAAAGTTTCTCACCGCTGCTTCCATTAGCTTAACTCGCCAAGTAATTTGTGTTTCTATGAAGTTCTTCGTTAACCTCAGTCTATCTTGCCGTGGCTGTGCATCTGTGTTTGTGTAGGTGTTTACGAACGAGAGGTAGACGTAGTTGAATAAAAACATATGGTAGGAGAGATGCAGGTAAAGAGAGAGAGAGAGCCAGAGATACGCAGTGATTAGGCTACACCAAAAACTATTCAACAATTGAATAGTTTGAATAGAAAATGATCAACACCAAAAAAAAGGACAGAGATTGAGGTTTATCATATTTTGATAAACTTGTTGTTAAAGATTCGCTACTTGGAACAAAGTTCCACTACAACTTGGAACAAAGTTCCAAGTAGCACGGGCTATGGTGAGCCCGTGTGATAAACTTGCACAAACCTTTCCTGAACTGAAGTTGTCTTTTGTTTATGGTCCACAGGTCACACCTACCACCACCACCGCTACTACAAGCACCACCACCACCACCACCACTACAAGCACCACCACCACTACAAGCACCACCACCACCACCGCTACTACAAGCACCACCACCACCACCAGTACAAGCACCACCACCACCACTACAACCACCACCACCACCACCATGAAGACCGCCACCAGCACCGTCCTGCTGTGTGTGGTGTTGACCCTCGCCAGCGCCGCCCCGCTCCCCCAGCACCAGTATTCCCGTGATGGCCGCCTCATCTTCGGCATTCCCCTTATCCTCAACACTAACAACTTCCCCTTCAACCTCTTGCCCACCAAACCTCCCGTGCAACTATGCTCTTCCTACATCATATGTCTCGTTACTACCACCACTACTACCACTACCACCACTACTACTACTACTACCACTCCGAGGCCCGCGGGAAAGTAACTAGGCTTCTCTCGTAACTGAGTCGAAGTTCAGTCAGTTTGCACCGTTGATTTTCACTGCTTTGTTGCACCGTTGACTTTGTCTGCATTGTTGCACCGTTGTATCATTCATTATTGTTTCATTGTTATTCCCACATTCACTCATTGTTGCCGCGGACATGTATGAGTCATTACTGCAAGTCAGATGAGTAATGAAAAGGTGTCCATCACAGAAATCCTCGTTCGTTCAGTTAACTCATCACTGCCTCACATGAGTGACTAGTGAGTCCCCGTAGCACGACAGTACGTGAGTCACTGGTACGTGAGTCGCTGGTACGTGAGTCGCTGGTACGTGAGTCGCTGGTACGTGAGTCACTGGTACGTGAGTCGCTGGTACGTGAGTCGCTGGTACGTGAGTCGCTGGTACGTGAGTCACTGGTACGTGAGTCGCTGGTACGTGAGTCACTGGTACGTGAGTCGCTGGTACGTGAGTCGCTGGTACGTGAGTCACTGGTACGTGAGTCACTGGTACGTGAGTTACTGGTACGTGAGTCGCTGGTACGAGTCACTGGTACGTGAGTCGCTGGTACGTGATTCACTGGTACGTGAGTCGCTGGTACGTGATTCACTGGTCAGTACAAGGTACTTGGGCCTTTCCTGCTAGAACATTTATAGTTTTTTATATTGTGTAATACAGACTAATTGTATATTATATGAAAATGAATTTAATTAAAAACATACATAAATAACTATAAATATGTATATATTCATCACCTAAAAATCCAAATACTCATCACTACCTAAGATTGTAAACGAATCTGGCACTCCATATAGCCTCTTCCACACCATATAAACTGCCCAAACACCTCAGGTGCTGGTATATATGGAACAAACTGTCTCCCACATCATCGAAAAACATCAAAAATTCTCGTTCTTGTCAGGCTGCTCACTAATGACCAGTTCACTGTTACTGAGAATAATTTGTTTTTGCTAACGTGACGCATTTTTTAATAGAGTGGCCATTATCATTAATCACGCCACCTATTAAGTGGGATGATAGGCTTCTCCCGCATCATCCCACCTATTAAGTGGGATGATAGGCTTCTCCCACATCATCCCACCTATTAAGTGAGATGATAGGCTTCTCCCACATCATCCCACTTATTAAGTGGGATGATAGGCTTCTCCAGCATCATTCCAACTATGAAATGGCTTCGTTATGTTGATGTTTTCCTAATCAACACACGATGCTCTTTAGATTGAAATAATTCTAGAAATATTTAATGAATACGAAACAAACTACATTTTAGTTTAGAAACACTAAGAGACAGCTCACTAGACACACAAATAGTGAGAGATGGACCCACTCTGAGGTCAACCAGTGATCAAGCCTACCAGAATGACCTTGTAACAAGTCGAAACGAGGCATTGTAATCTCGTGAGGCTGTTCCCCTCTGAAGGGTTATTAAAGCCTATCCACTTTTGGAGGTTATTAACGCCTGTCAACCTCTGGAGGGTTATTAAGGCCACCGTAATAGCTTACTGACCCTCCAGCAGGTATACTTTAGCCCTGAACATCGTCCAGGAGTATATTATACTCAGTATGTATACACCAAACGGGGTATACACCTTAAAGCTGGCTGAGTAATGATAAGCTCATATGATCAACATAATCGCATAGCTTTCCCCTGTCTCTCAAACCTGTCACCTGACTCAGTGTTCCGCTTCGACAACCTACAGTTCCAAGCCCCCACTGTAAACACAACAAATTTGTTATACGTTTTTGGTAACAGGACGAGTAGTTTAGAGTGAGTAGTTGCGTGTGAGAGGATGATAATGGGGGAGCAGGTGTTTGTGAGTTTGTGTGAGCCGGCGTTGAGAGGCGCCGGGTAGCCATCTCTTGCTGTATATAATAATAACGGTCAGGGGTACAGGACACCATTCCGTCACTGTCCTTCGTCTGGTGCGTGTCTGGAGCCTCGTCAGCGGTGTCTGCTGCCACAACAGCTGTATCTGCTGCCACAACAGCTGTATCTGCTGCCACAACAGCTGTATCTGCTGCCACAACAGCTGTATCTGCTGCCACAACAGCTGTATCTGCTGCCACAACAGCTGTATCTGCTGCCACAACAGCTGTATCTGCTGCCACAACAGCTGTATCTGCTGCCACAACAGCTGTGTCTGCTGCCACAACTGCTGTATCTGCTGCCACAATAGCTGTATCTGCTGCCACACCAGCTGTATCTGCTGCCACAACAGCTGTATCTGCTGCCACAACAGCTGTAGCTGCTGCCACAACAGCTGTCTCATACAATAACAGCTGATAATCTATTCTCAACAGGTGCACCGTTGCAGCTTCGTCAAGTGTATCTATGTAGCCTCGCCAGGTAAGGACAAGCACTCTCAGCTTGCACAAGTGCTACATGTACAAGCGTAAAGCCTCGTCTTGCTCGCACGTAGCTAATGTCACGCAACCAAATCAAAGCCAAAGAAAACAGCCTAACCCAAGTGACGACGTCCATCCTGGACCCTTATCAAGTCGTAACTTTTTTTTTTCTTTATTTAATAAAATTCAATATAAATCATATATACATAATTTTTACAAGGCAATACTACATTACATATACAGTAGCATAATTCTCAGTAAACAAGTGTTTCATATTATCACAGAACATGAACTTTAAACCCCTAAATATTATACGTATTTTTCTTTAAATGATTTACAATTTTAGAGATTATATTTACATTAATTTATATGGGAAATTATTACATTGGAGAGAGTAGGTAGCCCTTATGTGAGAGCCAAGTGGTATGGGAGGCGCCTTGCGCTCAGTATTAGGCTTTACGTCTAAATGTTTCATTGTTCCTTCTAAATATGAAGTGAAGAGCATCAAGGAGTGCTTCTGAGTAACTTAAATATCAAAATTCTATCGCAAGCTTATTTGTACTAGATTGTAATTGAAAGTTATCTGGTTTAAACTGACAGTAATCCAGTGTTATTTGTGTAAATGAGTGTTTGGCTTTCCTGTCCAGACGACACCAACGACCTCATCAACACCAGAGTCACCGCCAGTGTCTCTACACCCACCACCATCGTCTCTACACCCACCAACACCGTCTCTACACCCACCACCACCGTCTCTACACCCACCAACACCATGAAGACCTGGGTCGTCCTGCTGGTGTGTCTGGTAGGCGCCGTCACCGCCGCGCCCCTCCCCCAGCAGAGCGACGCTCCTCGGCAGGGTCGCTTCGTGTTTGGCATCCCCGTGCCCGTCTTGGTCAACAGCAACGTGCCCCCGGCCTCAATAAACAGACCGGGCTTCTATTTCTGCCCCACAAACTTCTTGTGTACCATTACTACAACTACCCCGAGGCCAACTACTACTACCGCCAAACCGACAACGACAACTACTACCGCCAAGCCAACAACCACTACGACCACCAGAAGACCCAGACATATCTATTAAGCCAGTGAGAATAACATCCTCAATGAGTCATATTTCTGTGTAAATCGAATAAAGGGTCTTCACTAATGACATTTGATTCAAACACAATTGTTAGGAAAGTCAATTTCACAGCCTACTCGGCAAACAGCTGTGTTGAAAACGAAACAAAGCAGCAAAAATGTTGTTTACTTTTCATAAAGTAAGACCGATAGGATGAGTGTTCAGATCATCTAAAGTAGACAGTAAATTTTCTTAACTTCATGAAGCCTATTAATAGTTGTAGCTGATCCTTTTGTCTTTCAAAGCCTTGCCAATATCAGTATTAATTGCTGTGTAGGTATGCATATACTATGATATACAGTGCAACAGTAGTGTCTGCAGAATTGCAATACTGTTCTGCTAGAATTTACCTACTTAAAATTATTTGTTAGATTAAGGACCTGCCCGAAACGCTGCGCGTACCAGTGGCTTTACAAGATTGTAAATACTATGCTATGTATTCTCACAAACCCAATGTACCTTTTTGTATGTATATAAATAAATAAATACTGTATCTAGATGTTTTTATAGAAAATACGAAGATACGATAGGTACTTTGGAAAGTTTTACTTTTACAACTACAACCGATCTCAGCACAAGCAGAGGGGTTTGTTAATAGGGATTAAAACATAGCAAGTTGATATTATTAGATAACCAGACAAATTACATGGCATGTTTGAGATTAAGATTCCAGCCTATGGCGTGCAAGATAAATACACCAGACGCTGTCCTGCATGATAAGGCGGCTAGATTTTCATAGCAGCAATCATATATATAACCTGATTGATGTACATAATGGTTATCAGAATATAAATTGTATGGATACCATCTCACGTAAATTAACATGTAACAACATTGAAACTGAACCGAGCCTATATAACCCTACCTGTATTGTTGAAACTATATATATGTTCATTTGTTAAAACTATATTTTGCTACAAACATTCGGCCCAGATAGGCAATAAATCACAAACTACAATCAAAGAGAACCCGTATAAAATTAAGTCTTATTTAAATATACACTGTGCCTATATATATATGGGCAATGTTACGAATGTAGATAAAAAATGTATAGAATTATTTATATAGAAAGAGGCTTTATGGCAGCTGAGTGCTGGCAGACCGAAGATCGTCATTATCCCTCCGCCCAGCTAAGTAGTACCTCTATATATGTTGGGGATTATAGCTAATCAGCAGACTATACAAAAGTCTTTTGTTAATGAAAAGTGGACTCTTATATTTTACACAAATAGCGTATTATTAGATGCGAATATTCAGAGATTTTCTAAGGCAGGTATTTAGGATCGCGCGCCAATATTTCGTCAGACACAGGAGCAAGATGGCGGTGGTCGGAAGCGCGTCAGGTCGTCTCAGGTGAAGGCTCCTTTCTCACAGCCCAGATATTCCAGCTAAGCCACTAATTGTATTCTAAATAAAACCAGATTATAACATTATTGTAAACCATATTGTGTAATAGCTACATATATGGAGTCCAATTTTCGTATATAAATTGTGTGCAGACTTATACAATGATTTCTGTAGGTTAAGATCTCTTATACGGACCAAGGGTTTTATCAAATATATATCACGACTGTGTAACTAAAGTCACCCAAGGGAAGTGTTAAGACGTTGACACACCACATAAATGATCCTGTATGTGTGGTTTTGTTTTAAACATTTTAATTAAAATAAACGACCTAGATTCTGTACTCTTCTGGAGAAATTCACAAGGCAAATAACATGTTGTTAGACTTAGCTACTCAAAACGAAATGTCCATGTAGCACGGGCTATGGTGAGCCCGTAAGGCAAATAACAGCAGGCTCGTCTATTAAGACCCTAAGAGTACAAGTGAGTAAAGCTACACAAAATCCTAGTCTAAGAGTCAGCTGGGCAGGAAACCATAAGAGGCAGCAGTAATCGTCTCACAAGTTACAGCCCCGCTCCTGTGCCAGGTAAGTCCACTACGGGCTCACCATAGCCCGTGCTACTTGCAACTTTTTGTTCCCAGTAGCTGAATCTTTAACAACAACAACGTCCATCAGACAATGCGTCACTGTGGTTGCCAGGATCAGGCTACCATTATCCTGTGGCTACAGGTGACGGATATTCACTATCTCTACTGATATATTCACTATATCTCGAGTTTACACATGTGTAAACTCAGAGCAGGAACTGTCATGATATCACTACGGCATTGGCTGTTTACCCAGTACACCTTTCAGACCTCCAGGTATCAGGTACCTGGAGCTTTGCCATTACTTTCTCCACTCTGGTGTTCTGAAGGATATCCTCGAAGCGTCCAAAAAGTCGGTCAGTGTAGGCTACTGATCCCATGCTCCCTAGTAACGAGCCATCACATATATGACTATCTTTGTATGATATAGCGAGCGCTTGATTTATACTATGTAACCATTTATATAGTTCAGGGTAGCTACGTAAATACCTATGTATCTATATTAATAAAAAATCAACAAGTTTTAAGATTTAAAACTCCCTTTATTCAGGACATTAGGAGAATCTTAACATGTTATGTGTAAGGAGAGGAGCTTCTGTTGCAGCAGTTGTGAGGCGGGACCAAAGAGCCAAAGCTCAACCCCCGCAAACACAACTAGATGAGTATAAGCTAAAGACTGCGCTATTACCCTTAGAATTGTCCAGGGAAAACAAAAAACGAGTCAGACCAGAGTGGGAGAAATATGTAGCCTCAAGAACAATTTAATTTTTGGAACAAACTTTTTACGAATATGGCGGTTACTTGAGTACTTGCTGGATACAAAGTTAGCTAGATGACTTGGTGAATGATTAGCTATATCTGGCTAGGTGGCTAGCTCTCGGGCTGAGGATAGAGAGATAGACACCACACAACCCCACACGGAGCCCATCGACTTGTATAACGTCTATCAACGAATGAATTATAATGGCGGACGAGGCTTCCTTGCAACCTCTCGCCGGCTTCTCTTACAAATTCAAATGTTTATTCAGGTAAAAGTACATACTTAGATGATGAGTTACGAACATAATGTTGAATTTATAGATAGAGCCAGTACATACAATACCTAAAGCCACTAATACCCATAGCTTTTCGGGCATTCAGGCATACTTACAATACTGGGTGTTCTCGCCCCATGCCCCATCCTGCGGTGGGGCGAGGCTGATTAGCCTTATTAACCTCCAGAGCTTCAAAGGCATTAATAACCCTCCAAAGACAGGTAGGCCTAAACCTAAAATAAAATCAGTTTCCTGCCAACCAGTGGTCGTGTTTCTTGCAACCAGTGTTTATATGTCCACTTAACTATAGATAGTTCAGGTGATGGGTGCTTGATTGGCTTCATGTTATACAAAATCATTCGCTCAGTCAGTATTCATCTTCACAAGGGATGTATAACGGTGTACGAAGTAGTCAGGTGGTGTTCGGAGCAGCCAGAGGATGGGGGGGGGGTGTACGGAATAGCCTGATGCAACCCATTCTCCTGTCTAGACAGTTCCCATTGTAACGGTCGTCAGTAGTCACGAATTCGTACGTTCTTAGATAGTAGAATACTGACTAATAAGGCGTTCTTTTAAAATAAATGAACCTAAAACACAAACTTAAATATTGCTAGGCCTATTATAGTACACATATGTACTATATTAGGCCTCAGATATCGTGTATTAGGCCTAGGGAGGTTAGGCTAGTTTTGTTTGTCAAAGCAACACAAGTTAAACAAAATTCCGGTTTGTCCAACTCAATAGTTCAGATTTGTACTTTCTAATTTAGTTGTACGTCGGTATATGTACTATGGTCCTCATCGGTACTATAAGTACTACCAGAACAGGAGGATAGGCTGTATTGAGTTGCCAGGTTGTGTTCGAATGAAGCAGGAGGTGTACGTAGTAGACAGGGGCGTTCGGAGTAACCAGGGGAGGAGGGGAGGGAGAGGGTTTCGAAGTATATGTTTACCAATAACAACGCACTGCCTTATGTCAACAAAACTCCCATTCATAATATAGTCAGCTGATAACATGATCAGGGCTCACGGCAATAATATTGTGTATAGTACTATAGTATCTTACACCTTGGCGTGTGTAAACAATAACATTCTCAGCTGATTCTTACGTCACGTCGCAGGTAACTGTTATCACGGCTGTTTTCTGATCCAAACGCTATGTAAACAATATCACAGCTGATTCTGACAGTTGTAAACAATATCACAGCTGATTCTGACAGTTGTAAACAATATCAACGCTGATTCTGACAGTTGTAAACAATATCACAGCTGATTCTGACAGTTGTAAACAATATCACAGCTGATTCTGACAGTTGTAAACAATATCACAGCTGATTCTGACAGTTGTAAACAATATCACAGCTGATTCTGACAGTTGTAAACAA